AAATAAATGTTCGTCAGTGGTAATTAGCTCTTTATGGGCCTGAATTTCTAGGGATACAAACATTTTTTCCAGCGTATAGAACTTTAATGTAAGAAACTTGTAACCCTTGTTTTTCTAACATAACTTCACTTAATTATAATAGTAAATTCTAAAATTATATTGAATGTAAGGAATATATGGGAATATGAGTGTGATTCACAGAGAGAAAAAAGTAAACAAATCAATATTGTATGATTTATTAGCTCCATTCAATACAAGGTAGTATAGTAAGCTTAAATGCAATACATGGTTTTATTTTCACTCACAGTGCAAAACGTAAAGTTTGATTTATTTCTTCAGTAAAATTAGAATGTGTTAACGTAACATGCATTATATCTTTTATTTTAAATATCAATATTATATTTTTAAAGTCTACGGAGCTAAAAATTCAGAGTAACTCAGTCTATTTTCAATGAACCAATAACCAAGCACTCATTCCATCCTATTTCACTGACAATACGTAATAAGTATTTGGTTTCCACCACTTCGTATTGAGTCTAGCATTTGTTACTACAACTCAATTTACTTTACTGTACTCTTAGTGTGAAACGTTTTATATTTCAGACTTTGAATGGGCTGTTTTCTGATTGATTTTCAAATCTCCTTACACTTGAAACATAGATGACTTTCTTGTCATCTAAGAGAACTGGTTTGTTAAAAAATACTAAGCCTTTTGAAATATTTAATAGCGAAGATACTGTATAATTTAATAAAGCAAAGGTTGACATTTGTATCTACCTAACGATGTTTCGAATGAAAAGTATTCTATTCAAGTTTTTAGATAAGATAAAACAATTTTGAAAGTTTAAAATTTCTTGCAACACAACATCGTACAAAACGCTCTAACAGAAATATTTTGAATTAGCTGATTTTGTCGTTAGAACATTCAAAATCAATGAATTATTAACAACTCTATTATTGTATTGTCATAAATATTAGAAACTATTTGATCGAATTTATCAATCTTATAGTTATATAAGAGGATTTGTAGAAAGTTAGCCTGTATAATCTTAACAAGAATGTATCAAAATGTTGATAAAATATTTTGAAATATTTACTGAACAGTTTTGAAACGATCTAGGTTTTGTATTTATGACTTAAAAAAACTATATGTTATGATTTAAATAGGATAATTCCTATGCCAGATAATTTTTGCCAAAAAATTTCTTCGCAATCAATCAAATAATATAATTACATGAAAACAAGTACTAGTTGAACCGCTCTAGAATTATTGGTATTTTGTTTTCTTTGTGAACATTTTTATTCACGCTCTATAATTTCTACAGGTTGTGTAAATAGAACAAGAATAAACATCAAACAAACGTAAATGAATATCGATAGAACTCATCAAAATAAAATGATGAAGCTTTCCTCATGCATAAAATATTGTAAAAATCCATAATAGTACAGAGAAAAGAGTCGAGTCTTAAAATCTCACGACAAAGTGCAAAAACATTCAGTAATAACTCTCTAATTACTAGATGTGCCATAAACACATAAGCGCTAATGTAGAAAACCTATAGTCACGCAAAACTACAATATTAACAATGGTATTCCCCAAACTCAAATCTTACAAACCTTAGATATATTATTAAGTGTAATATTTCAATATTTAACAAATATATATAGCCAGTTGTAAGTACAAAAAAGCTGTAAACTTTCAATTTAAACTGAAATATCAGTAATTATATATAGCACACTAGGAATGCAACATTCACTCAATACAAACTTCAAATATATCACCGTATAAAATGCCCGTACTACCTCATAAAGCCGCAATCTAGAAATGAAAAGTGTTTGTTTTTTTGAATTTCTAGGTTCTATGCGCTAGCCGTTCCCAATTTAGAAGTGACAAACTACAAGAAAGGCAGTTAGTCAATACTTACCTACCGCCACTTCTTGGGCTACTCTTTTAGAACCAGGCCATACCAGGAAATAATATAATCACATAACCACCAGGCCATACAAAGCAAATGATATAATCACATAACCACCAGGCCATACCAAGCAAAGGATAAAATCACATAACCGTCAGGCCATACCAAGCAAATGATATAATCACATAACCACCAGGCCATACCAAGCAAAATATATAATCACATAACCACCAGGCCACACCAGGCAAATGATATAATCACATAACCACCAGGCCATACCAAGCACATGATATAATCACATAATCACCAGGCCATACTAGATAAATGATATAATCACATAACCACCAGGCAAATGATATAATCATATAACCACCAGGCCATACCAAGCAAATGATATAATAACATAACCACCAGGCCATACTAGGTAAATGATATAATCACACTGCAAAGCGGAATCATTATAATCTCACAATGCACGACAAAGTACCAATATTTTACACAACTGGAAGAATATAAGTAATATATATATATATAGATAGATAGATAATTCGCAGTTCCTCAGGTCTCTTTATAAATGTTTATTCAATAAATACGAAACAAATAATACAAACATAGTTTTCCACCAAGCATTAGTTCACACGTGACTCATTACAATGTAGGGATCATCCTATTATAATATAGTGTTTCCCAGCAAAGTGTTACGTTTGGATACGACTTTAGTGAGGTCGTTTATAGTTCAACTTTTGTGTAATGATTGTAGAAGCGCAGAACGGATGCTAGATATGACAGTTTTCTATGGGCACACGTGAATTAAGGCAGACAACTTGCAGGGACATATTGTAACGCTATGATTAATTCATTGCAACTATATAGTATATGTTGGATAACTTACTCACGTAATCATTCATTAAAGTGTATATCTAATGCCAATAGATTTGCAAATTGTTAAGAGAAGAAAAAAGGAGTTCAGGTGCATCCAAGCTTTAAAATCAAAACTTTTGATGGGAAACAAGTTTAGCCCGGTTAGGAATTACTGATACACCAAACTTATACAACTAATACAGTTTTCGAAATTCTGACAACTCCAATATCTAGCATTAGTATTTAAGCCAGGCTTATATCGCTAATAAACTGTGTTATTTGTCTGTGAAGGCAAGTCAAAAGAATGATTTTTTTACAGGGTAGCCTTGTGAACAAAAGAAGCATTTTTACAGAGTAGCCTTGTGAACAAAAGAAGGATTTTTTACAGGGTAGCCTTGTGAACAAAAGAAGCATTTTTTACAGGGTAGCCTTGTGAACAAAAGAAGCATTTTTTACAGGGTAGCCTTGTGAAGCAAAAGAAGGATTTTTTACAGGGTAGCCTTGTGAACAAAAGAAGCATTTTTACAGGGTAGCCTTGTGAACAAAAGAAGGATTTTTTACAGGGTAGCCTTGTGAACAAAAGAAGGATTTTTTACAGGGTAGCCTTGTGAACAAATCGTTTTAATTAGAGATATAGATCTTCCAACTTTTGATTTTTCTAACTGGGTATTGCAGTTATTCCTTATTATTAACGTCAAACTCAACAATTATCGCAGTTATTCCTTAATCTTAACGTCAAACTCAACAATTATCGCAGTTATTCCTTAATCTTAACGTCAAACTCAACAATTATCGCAGTTATTCCTTAATCTTAACGTCAAACTCAACAATTATCGCAGTTATTCCTTAATCTTAACGTCAATATCAACGATTATCGCAGTTATTCCTTAATCTTAACGTCAATATCAACGATTATCGCAGTTATTCCTTAATCTTAACGTCAATATCAACGATTATCGCAGTTATTCCTTAATCTTAACGTCAAACTCAACAATTATCGCAGTTATACCTTAATCTTAACGTCAAACTCAACAATTATCGCAGTTATTCCTTAATCTTAACGTCAAACTCAACAATTATCGCAGTTATACCTTAATCTTAACGTCAAACTCAACAATTATCGCAGTTATTCCTTAATCTTAACGTCAATATCAACAATTATCGCAGTTATTCCTTAATCTTAACGTCAAACTCAACAATTATCGCAGTTATTCCTTAATAATAACGTCAAACTCAACGATTATCGCAGTTATTCTTTAATATGCATACTTTTAAAATTATAACGGAGAAACCTAATATGAAACATGTTTGTTTTAGACTTTTCGATCCAAGCCACTATACGTCAGTCTGTGTTCATAGTCGTCCCTAATTTTGAACTGATGGACATAATATTCTCTAAAAGAGCTTAGCTTGTCAACAGCCAGTTCTTGGGCTACTCTTTCTTGATCGAATAGTTGTATTCAATCGTCATTCTCATGACGCACCCACCGCCCAAAGTGCGGAACGCGTTTTTACGGCAACAGGAATAAAGCACAAAGCTACACAATGGGTTATCTGCGCTCTGCCCACCACGGGTATCGAATCCTGGTTTCTAACGTTGTAAGTCCGCAGATATCCCGTTGTGCCACTGGGAGGCTCTATTACATTGAACTTCGTGGTTTTCACAGTGTATTTGTGTACAAACACCTAAAACTGCTCTCTATTTAAAACACTTTAGTCTTAGTCATTTGTTTGGAACTTTTTGAACTGTAATAGAATAGCATATATTTTCCTGTTGGTGCTCATTCATTCAGTTAAATAATCCGATCTTACATTTATGGCTGGTTGGTTGGTTATTTTAAAGCAAAACCACATTGAGCTATCTGCTGGGTCGAACCCCTAATTTTAGCGTTGTAAGTTTGTAACCTTACCGCTATACCACCGGAGGGCTCTTACTTTTACAATAAACCATAAGGTTTCGCTATTGTTAACGTCAGTCTGATCAGTTATGTTAATTATAATAAATAAGGTATATTTAAGGTCTTTACCTTTTGACTGGGTATATTATGTTCCGTATTTTATCAAAACGTAATGTAATTATATGCCAAAAATCTGCAACACCAGTGAAAACTTTTAGATAATTAAAAATGCAGAATTTGAATAGGAATAATTTAATGTGCGTTTAAAGTTGCAGAAGCATTGTGTGTGTGTACCAAATAAACGAATCGGGAAATCCATGACTTTTTATTTGCTGAAATTAAATTCGCATATGTAGTGAAGGTAAAAGGACGTGCATGGGACATCATCCCATAGGAAGTTAACGGCATTCCACATCTGAGTACAATCATTCGCACGCGGTTCATTGGGCGCCCAGGCTGCAAATCCACTCGGTTCGTACTGCCAAACGCCATTTACTCGGTAAAGACCTATCCAGGTGCTATAAGGAGGAACAATAATACTTTTCAAAAATTCATGAGTAGCCAAATCTGGCACTCTAGCCAGACGTGCTCCTTCTGCTTGGCATGCGGCTGCAGCTTCTGGTTCCGTCTTAGTAATAGTATAATACTTGAAATATGATCCGCTGTGAAACTGGTATCCACTCGGTGCTATAAGAAAAGAAAAAGGTAAAACTGAACCAGCATAGAAGTAACTAAATTAGAAGTGTAATCTTAATAGTTTACTTAGAATCTTGAAGAGAAATAAGTTATTTGTATAAAACGTTCTATAACCATTTGTATAAATTTGAAATTTATCAAACATTTATATGATGTTTATGATGTTAGGAAAACACGTAGATTTTTAAAAATCCATTTAAAACAGAAATACAAAACTCTATAACCCGAACAGTTTCGAAATGTGGCCTTTTGTTTTTCAGCAGGGGTCAACCTGGTGAAAAAAGGCCCACCTTTCGAAAACGGTCAGGTTATAGGACTTTGTAATTTTGTGTTAAATGTTTGTTTGTACTCTAATTTATAGCAATAGTATTAGGTCAGCGGTGGACTAGGGGTTACGTGTCGGGCTGCTGATTGAGAGTTCCGTGGTTCAAGTTATGATGCTACTAAACATAGTCCGTACATTAAACTTTGGATGTATTATAAAAATGACAGTTAATCCTGTTATTTATTAATAGAACGGAGCAAAGCTCTTTTGTCGGCGATTGTTATTAGCTGACTTTGGGCTATGTCTTCTGTTGGCGAATGTCGTTAGCTGACTTTCGGCTATGTCTTCTGTCGGCGAATATTGTTAGCTGACTTTTGGCTATGTCTTCTGTCGGCGAATGTTGTTAGCTGACTTTCGGCTATGTCTTTTGTTGGCGAAGATTGTTAGTTGACTTTCGGCTATGTCTTTTGTTGGCGAAGATTGTTAGTTGACTTTCGGCTATGCCTTAACCTTAGAGATTAGCCTCCATGCTCATATGGTAACGTTCAGTTATAAAATACCTATTGTATATAAATAGTATTGGATGCTTTTTGTTTTGTTATTGTTGTTTGTTTGTTTTTTGTAAATATTACATTTGCTCTACTTTTTATATTGTGATGTTTCAATGTTATAAAAATTTGTGTGACCAAGGAAAGAAATGTTGTATTTATTGTAGAAAACTAAGAAGATTAAAAATTACAACGTGCTCCAGAAGCTACGTCATGGATGAAACTGATGCATATGATGTAACAGCATCTTCGCCTCTGGGATAATAAGACGAGCCGCTTATAATTCCGAATTCCTGAATAAAACAGCATTGTAAAGTATTTTTTTATTATCTAATTAGACAAAAATATGAGGATCTTAAAAACTCAATCTGTTTTATAAACAACGATTATTTTATACACAATTCTATAAAAATGCGATTGTTTCCAGTCTCCAAATTACTACATGTTTCGACGTATACTATTGCATCTTCCTCAGGAGTAAAATGTATTGAAAAAACATGAAGTATTCAAGGTGCTGAAAGAAGCAAGAACCATAACTTACGTATTTCACAATTGTATCCTTTGAAACCAGACCAACAAATACAACTGTAGAGGCCAGAGGAATCATCTTGACAAGTTGCTCCATTTTTGCATGGGTTTTCACTGCAAGACAGCTTTTAAAAAAATAATAAACAATTGTTATACAAACATCGTAGGAATTCGGACAAATTTATATGAGGAAAGAATTTTCTTGTTGAATACTTTTTTTTTAATGTTTACATAACATGCTTTTTATTTCTCTTTTGTAACAGTCAATTTGTATCAAAAGAAAGACATCGATTACGTGTATAAATCAATAATTAAATCAATAAAGTGTTTATTCAAAACGATTATAGTTATATATTGTGTGATATATATATCATACGTCATTGCCCCCCCCCAGTGGCACAGCGGCATGTCTGTGGACTTACAACGCTAGAAACCGGGTTTCGATACCCGTGGTGGGCAGAGGAAGGTATGTCTGCGGACTTACAAAGCTATAATCCGGGTTTCGATACCCGTGGTGGGCAGGGCACAGATAGCCACTGTGTAGCTTTGTGCTTAATTATAAACAAACAAACTTACGTCATTTGTCGCATAAATGTTATATTGTGCATCACGAATAATATCTCAAATCACAACCTATTGTTACTATGCCATTTTTTTATCAAACAGTTTTATTTATCATACTATAAAATTTTGAATGTATCATTTGAATGGGTTTACTGTCTCATTCACAGAAATAGCTAATTAACTCTACACATATAAAAAAACCCTAACAAGTTCTATTGTGCCTAATGGTGATATTGACAGTTCAAATAAAGTAGTATTTTTCAACATAAATATCTAAGACAAAAAGTAAAATCTTAATTCTTTGTCATACATTTAGTTCCTGCACAGAAACTGATAGATACAAAAACAATTATAGATTTTATATCACTGTTTTAATAATAAAAAGAAAATTAATTATATACATATGTGTTTCTGTATGGATGTATATTCGTAACACCTTTACGTTCAGGGATTCAATAGCTGTTACTAAAATGAGATGTCAAATACAAGTGCCTTTACCAATCCAGCTAAAAGCTCGCTCAAAGCTGCTGTTAATTAAAGCATTTTAAGCCACAGTATCTCGTCTAATAGACTAGCTTTGAGTTTTTTTTCTTTTTCAAGTATAAACTTTTAACTCATAACACCGTCATCTCATGACTGATTTGAGATCTAATTATAGTTTTGGACTTAGGAGGTCTAACCCTTTCGATTAATGCATTTGACCGTGCTCAAGATCTCATAGATTAATTTACTATAAATATGGCCTAAAATAATTTCAATTGAGGGTAGGCTGGTAGAGATCCTGATGAGTAGTAAAATGGAATCGGATATACGTGCACCCCAAGCTTGGTATTGCTGGTGCACAGGAATATAGCTAATAAAAAGGAGAAAAAAAACGTCTCATAGATTAATTTACTCTAATTCTTCTGAAAAGAATTTCAATTGCTGCAGTTATTGAGGATTCCCGCTTGTTAACTTTTGAAACTACTCAAGTATTACATAATTTTATGCGTTGTACTTTGTTATGAAGTTAGGTGTAAGGAACATCGGTTGAAGGTGTGTGTGAGAGATGCGAAAGCGGCCGGCCTTTGTCAGTCTCTAAGTAATTATGGGATTACAATACTAAAAATTAGAAAATGATTGGAGTGAGTGGCCATCTTTCTAAGTTCAGTCTGTAAGAAACTGACAAGGCCCCTTATGGTTATGAAGTGTTAAAATCTGATATACAGGAAACAGGTGCGAGATCAGAAAGAATTGGGCTGGTTCGGCACAGATTCTGGAAAGGAATATAAAAGATAGGAGTTCAACGACAAAAAGAAGATAAGACCGGGAGATGTGAGAGAGAGAATGAATAAAGATATAGAGGCGAAAGAAGAAAGTAACACTCTACGAGTACGAAACAAAATCAACTTCTAAATTTACGTGTTATTGATAACAAGAAGAAGATAAAACAGCAATCTGTTACGTTTATATTGGTATGAGTCAATTCCTGACAAGAAGAAGTAAAACCCAAATAAAGTAAGAAGAGAAAGTGAAGTGCGAAACTAGCGTGATCGCAACATATTTTCAGGTGTACTAAGTTAAAATTGACCACAACTCACAGACTTATACAGAATTACGAATAAATTGTAATGTTCCTAAAACTAATAGAATCATTTATTTTAATTTTGTTTGTTTTGCGCAATGCTTCACAATAGGCTATCTGCATTCTGCCCTCCACGGGAAATGTAGCCCTGGATTTTAGCGTTGTACGTCCGTAAACTTACCGCTGATCCCCTCGCGGGCTAATACAGTTTTACCCGTAATGATTACAACTAGATTTATTAGAAACTCACTTTTATATGGAACTAAAACTGGATTTTATTAGTCATCTTGATGCATGGAAATCCACATTAAAACTATCAATTCTGACTCAAGAAAACAGGATCACATACAAAAGTTTTATTGGTTTTCAAACGAGACCCAAAATTCAAGCGGTTTGGAACAGTTCACTGCTCTTCTGAAGAACCATTGAAACTATCACGTTACTTAGAAATTTTTGGAACTTATATTTTCTGTCAGGAACAATAAACAACATATTCAAAGAGAACAGCTTATTTCATGCAGCTTTGTTTTGATGTAAGAGCACTCATTATGATCATAATATTATAGAGTATTGTCCAAATTCATGGTAGAAGTGGGTTAATACATGGTAGCCAATCTACATTGTTAACCCAACAGTTTTCAGACCATAGAACTAGATATATAAGGCATAATTTAAGATGTTATTATCGTTTTTCAGTGTACACAAATCATTATAACTCTATTTATATCATCTTTTAAAAACTTTGTGAAATACGAAAATCCCGTATTTAACCAATTCACATTCGTGAACTGTTTTACGCTCAAAATATAGGAGAAGGAGCTCACTATTTGTCGATAGTTACTAGAAGTAAAAATTACAAAATTTATTAAATACTTATAGGAAATACGTTTGTCTTATAGCAACATCCAAAAATTTATTTGTTTCTTTCGGAAAATCAACACAAGGTCGAGAACATTCAACCCTCACATCCAAAAGTGTCTGCCAGTGGCATGTCTGCAGAGTTACAACGCTAGAAACCGGGTTTTGGTACCCGTGGTGGGCAGAGCACAGATAGCCCTTGTGTAGCTTTGTGCATAAATAAAAAACAAACAAACAAACACATCCAAAAGTTTATTTGCTTATTTCGGATTAATCAACACAAGGCCGAGAACATTCGACCCTCACATCCAAAAGTTTATTTGTTTATTTTGGATAAATTAACACAAGGCCGAGAACATTCGACCCTCACATCCAAAAGTTTATTTGTTTATTTCTGATAAATTAACACAAGGCCGAGAACATTCGACCCTCACATCCAAAAGTTTATTTGTTTCTTTCGGATAAATCAACATAGAACCGAGAACATTCGACCCTCACATCCAAAAGTTTATTTGTTTGTTTCGGATAAATCAACATAGGACCGAGAACATTCGACCCTCACATCCAAAAGTTAGATTAAAACCTTAAAAGAGAAGAAAATGAAATGTCATTGTAATTCATAACTGGAAAAAAGTAATAGTGGGCTTTACAAGTATGAGAAATGAAAAAATGTGGTTAAAGCACAAATAACTGTATAAAAATTGCAAGATAATTTTATTCTAATTTTGAGTATCAATGTGAAAACAAGGGTTAAACTGCATACTTACTTTTCTCACCCATACACTATAATCTATATTGTCTATAAAATCGTCGTCTGCAACCCTAACCAGCGGCTGACATTTTCGTAAGCTCATGCTGTAACTTACTCCCACACAGAGAACATTCTTTAAGCACAAGCCGCTACAGTGGATAAGAGAAACCACTGTATATGAAGGTCCTAGATGTCCGGAGGTTGGTTCTTTGGAGAGAACAAACTGAAGGAACATGCTGGATTTCATTTGTTGAGCTTGAACAGTGATAAATAGAAGCAGGATGAATACTTGGAACGACATTGTCATCACAATGACTTCAAGTGTTGTGGGAGAGCATTTTATGAGAATAAATATGATTGAAAAATATACTCGCTTTGCGCAGTCGTTATAGGAACCGAGTGAAAGCAGCCACTCATGTAGATTGAATTATTATTATGTATTTTTTACATATTTCTCTCTTTCTTTTCAAGTCATTAAAATAAACAGAGACATTTATTAAATAATGCTGATCAAAAAATGTTTTCAGGAAAGTAAAGGTTTTAAATGTTTAACGAATGAACCATAAGTTAGTTTGTTATTATTTAAAGCATCCCATGATTATATTACTCACAGAACAGTTTGATATTTCGTATTTCAATGACGTTGAATCACTTAATTCTGGTACTTAGAGACATAACTTACTAATACTTGTTCTGACAAGTAGAAATTGTGGGCGTGTTGTATGTCACATTTGTGCACCAGTCAATAATTGTGGGTATGTTGTATGTCACTTTTCTTCAATTTGAAATGTTCACAAGTTTGTTTGTTTG